TATACAACAAATAAGTAGAAAAGTAAGTTTTTGTCCCACAGTCCCGAAGCTAGTAAGTTGCAAATCCAAGATTTTTATCTATGCATTTTGACCCCAAAGAATTGGTTTAACATCCCCCAGAAATGTTATCTTCCAATGTCCACCTAAGCTCTCTATACTTTGTCTAGATTCTAGCCTATAGGATGAAGGAAGGAAAGTAGGAGACAAGTGATTTTCTTTTAAAGGGTAACCAAAAGTTGTACATACTAGTTCTGTTCAAATTCCATGTTTTACAACTCAGTGACATAATTACACTCAGTTGAACAGTAGACTGAGAAATGTTTCTGGGTACATAGCCACACATCTGACCAAAAAGTAGTGTTTGGGTGGGGATGTGGTTAGGGAATTTTTTATTCCTAAAAGTAAGAAAGGGAGAATGGATACTGATGGACACTTAATAGTCGCTACTACAGCATCTTATACAGCATCTGAGGACAAGAAGGTGATAGCTGGGAGAAAGTAAGAGAAAATGTGGAAAAGTGTCTAAGTAGAAGGAAGTGTCTCTTTTTAGTTATTGGATGTATCCATATTAATCTCATTTGCTCAGCAGAAGTTGACACTGGTGAGAAGCTATCACTTGTCACAGTTGGTGAATATGTGATGGATAATACTCAGATTCTCATTTCCCTTCAAGGCCAATTATATATCCATCTACAAAGATGGTGTTGAAAGTATGTGTGTATGTGTGTGTGTGTGTATATATATACACACATTAATATATATTAATTATTATATATATAAATATTAATTTATCTCTTGGTTTCTTTTTCTTTTCTTTTCTTTTTTTAAGATGGAGTCTCAGTCTGCCACCCAGGCTAGAGTGCAGTGTCGTGATTTTGGCTTTATTATATATATTATATATAAAAATATATAATATTAATTAATATAAATATTAATATATATACACATGTATATATGTTAGAATGTAAGTATATACACACATAATATATAAATAACATATGTATGCATAGTTGTGTGTGTGTGTGTATATATATATATATGATCAATTTGGTCTTTGGTATTAACTTCTGGTACTGAATCTGGATCCATAAAGTTTACTTTTAACTATAGTGATTCTGATTCAGATGGCTAGTATTGTTTTTGTCATCTTGCATTGCCTTGTTATATGATATAAATAAGGAATATTTGCATTAATTGTTATAACACTTCAGTTAACTTTGTTAACTGATTATACATGATAGTTGAGTAAAACTGGATTTATTACATAATTTTAAAATCTGTGTCATTGCTAGAAAAAATGAGAAACAGTAACTTATGGGGATAGTCTAGATAAGATTAGTTTCCAGCAGTAGTGATGGGAGCCAGTTCTTATTAGATCACAGAGTTGACAGGTGGGCATAGAAGTCATAATACAAATTAAACAGTAGGTCAAGAATCCAAGAGATAAGGCTGGAAACAGTGGCTCACACCTGTTATCCTAGCACTTTGGGATGCCGAGGCAGGTGGATCATCTGAGGTCAGGAGTTCAAGACCAGACTGGCCAACATGGCAAAACCCTGTCTCTACAAAAACTGCAAAAATTAGCCAGGCATTGTGGTGCATGCCTGTAATCCCAGCTACTTAAGAGGCAGAGGCAGGAGAATCACGTGAACCCAGGAGGCAGAGGTTGAAGTGAGCCAAGATCGCGACACTGCACTCCAGCCTGCGTGGCAGACTGAGACTCCATCTTAAAAAAAAAAAAAAAAAAAAAAAAAGGGAAAGAAAAGAAAAATAAACCAAGAGATAAATTATTCTGTAAACATGAAAAGATGTTAGAGGTCAAAGCAAGGTAGGATATGTGGTTAGTAGGATAGGATAGGATAGGATAGGATAGAATAGGATAGGATAGGATAGCATAGCATAGCATAGCATAGCATAGCATAGCATAGCATAGAATAGAATAGAATAGGCAAGCTAAAACCAAGGCACCTGGAATAAGACTCAACTTATCAGAAACCAAAAAGATCGATTAGAACTGTGAGAACACATATCCTGAATTCAAAACAAAGTTAGAGACATACAGGGAATCATGACTAATTGAATATACGTGTTTCACTTCACTCTTGAACAGACTTCACTGAATTTATATTAAATAGTAAAGAAATACAAAGGTGTCAGTCAACAGTGCAAGTTGTGGAAAGATGATAGCAGCTTAGAGACATCAACAGAATATGATAAACGGCAAGGAAAGGAGCAAGTGATAGCTGATTTAACAATATACCATGGAGATTATTCTTCAACTGTAGAAAATTCTTAAACTTGATTGAATTGTACTTGTGAATGGCTGCATAATGTGGCGTGTAAGTTACCCTCAATAAAACTGTTATAATTGTAAATTTATTATTGAAGCACCATGGGCATACAGAAAATTGCAGAAACAATATGTTCAACTGCTGAATTTTCCCAGTGTGAACATAACCAATAGCTACTGGAATCAGACTATAGAGAATACCTAGGAATTCAGCTTATAAGGGACATGAAGGACCTCTTCTAGGAGAATTACAAACTACTGCTCAAGGAAATAAGAGAGGACACAAACACATGGGGAAAAAAAATCATGCTTATGGATGGGAAGAATTGATATTGTGAAAATGGCCATACTGCCTAAAGTAATTTATAGATTCAATGCTATTCCTATCAAGCTTCCATTGACTTTCTTTGCAGAATTAGAAAAAAACTACTTTAAGTTTCATATGGAACCAAAAATAGCCAGTATAGCCAAGACAAGCAAAAAGAAGAAAGCTAGAGGCATCACACTACTTGACTTCAAACTACTACAAGGCTACAGTAACCAAAACAGCATGGTACTGGTACCAAAACAGATAAAGAGACAAATGGAACAGAACAGCGACTTCAAAAATACCACACATCTACAACCATCTGATCATCGACAAACCTGACAAAAGCAATCAGTGATGAAAGTATTCCCTGTTTAATAAATGGTGCTGGGAAAACTAGCCATATGCAGAAAACAGAAACTGGACCCCTTCCTTACACCTTATACAAAAATTAACTCGAGATAGATTAAAGACTTAAATGTAAAGCCCAAAACCATAAAAACCCTAGAAGAAAACTTAGGCAACACCATTCAGGACATAGGCATGGGCAAAGACTTCATGACTAAAACACCAAAAGCAATTGCAACAAAAGCCAAAATCGACAAATGGGATCTAATTAAACTGAAGAGCTTCTGCATAGCAAAATAAACTATCATAAGAGTGAACAGGCATCCAACAGATTGGGAGAAAATTTTTGCAATCTAGACATCTGACTAAGGGCTAATATCCAGAATCTACAAGGAACTTGAACAAATTTACAAGACAAAACAACAACAACAACAAAAAACAACCCCATCAAAAAGTGGCCAAAAGGTACGAACAGACACTTCTCAAAAGAAGACATTTATGCAGCCAGCAGACTGCTATAGCACATGTATACCTATGTAACAAACCTACACGTTCTGCACATGTATCCCAGAACTTGAAGGAAAAAAAAAAAAAGAAGGAAAAGAAAATGACAACACCACAGATCTCTCCCTTGTGCCATGCCCGGGCTCTAATTTCTCCAAACCTAAGATATTCACTGAGTTGGTTTTTAAGAGCATTTCTTCCCAGGTTTTGATGTGTCTTTAAATGGAATCATACTACCTAATCTTTTGTACTTGGCTTCTTTCCATCAGTATTATGTGGATGAACCTCATTATTTGTAAGGTTCTTCCATAGTTTCACATGTTACAGCAGCTGGTTCCTTTTCATTGCTATATAGTATTCCATTACATGAATATTCTAACATTTCTTTATCCATATACTATTGATGATTATTTGAATTTTAAAAATAGTGCCACTCTGAATAGTTTGTGCATGAGATTTGTATGCATTTCTGATGGCTGTATGTTTTAGATCATTGATTAATGGGTATGCAAATATTCAACTTTAGTAGACACTGCAAACTAGGTTTTCAAAGTGTTTATCCCAGTTTAATCTCTCAGTATGTATGCATATGGTACTTCTATTTGTCCCCACAGTCTTGTCAGCACTTGATATAGTCAGAGTCTTTAATTTTAGCTTATTCCAGGGATTTTAATTTATTTAATGTATTTTGGTTTTAATTTGTATTTCTTTGAAGACCAGTGATGTTAGACATTGTCCCATGATAATTAGGCATTTAGATATCCTATTGTGAGAAATGGTTGTTCAAGTTCTGCCCATTTTTCAATTAGACAGTCATTAATTTAGAATAGCTCTTTATTTCTTTATTCTGGAAAAGTATTGAACTATCTCCTCTCACAGGGTGGCATGACTTCCACTGTGATAGTTACATGTTTTAATAAATGGAAGTTCTTACTTTTTATGTAGGCAAACCTATACATGTTTTTTGTTTGTGGTTTCTGCTTTGATTTGGCTTCATTTGAGGAATCTATATTCCCCAGCAGTTATAACTTCTGTAAGATCTTGACGGAAAGTGGAGCAGAATCCTTTGTAATTCATGCATAGTAATTTAGTAATCAGGGGCACCTGCCTGAAATTAGGATGTGTGGAGCAGTCACTTCAGGCACTTCTTTCAACTAGACCTTTATTTTGCCATTGGTGTCAAAAAGAAGATTGTAGTGTGTTTTATTTATTGAGTTATTTTGTTTATATTGGAGCTCCTTGCTAGAAATCTAACGAATGTGATCTTATTATAAGCCAGCAACAACTCTGGAAGGTCGGTGTTATTATTATCCATTTTACAGATAAGGAAACTCAGGCTGACTGGGTGATGTTAGTTTGCTAAAATGGCAGAGCTAATAAGTGGGAGAAATTCAGTCTGCCTCATTCTAAAGTCATACTTCAAAGCCAAATGCCCTTTAAGATTTTATGTGCGTCGGGAACTTATTTGATTTTGCTCGTTATTAAATATGTTTAATATTATTCACTTTGCCAATATGAAGGTGCATTGAAAACTTCAATTCTCTGTTGCAGATAAAGGAAGACCTAGGTCTAGAAAAATAGCAGAAAGTGGAAGAGGGAAACGATACTCATACAAATTACCTCAAGAATACAACATAGAGACTGTAGTGGTTGCAGACCCAGCAATGGTTTCCTATCATGGAGCAGATGCAGCCAGGAGATTCATTCTAACCATCTTAAATATGGTAGGCAAACTTTAAAGTGCGCTTGGAATTTTTTCAAGAAAACTCTAAGGAAGACGTGTGAGTATTTATAATGAAGTTCTTTAAAATTAACTCGTTACTATTCCTTTCTCTTATTGTCATCAGTTAAAAAAATACTTAGGTATACAAAATTGATCCATCTCAAAAGCAATATCAAAATAAAAATTCACATATTGTAAAAAAGAAAACACCCTTCTTGTTAATTTTGATGTGGCAAACCTCTTTCTATGTTACTCTTTTCTCTCTTTTTTTGGTACTGTTCTTTTCCTTTTTTTTTTTTTAATATTTCTAGCCCCATTTATTTATTTATTTGTTTGTTTATTTTGTTGGTACATAGTAGATGTATGTATTTATGGGGTAGATAAGATATTTTGATAGAGGCATAAATTTGGTGAAATTATCATGAATATTTTAATATATGTTTATATACATGGCCCCACAAAAGGACCATAGGTTAATTATGATGTGATATAAAAATGAATGTTGGTAATCCACTGAGCTATTATATAGGTATGTAAAATGAATGTCAGATATGATTCTAGTTGATGAGCTAAAATTTTAACCAACTAAATCACAGGTGACTAACTTGAGTTGATGATTTCTGATTGTAGAAATCCTAGTATCTCGTCGCCTCTTAGATTTCATGCAATATTCCTTTAAGGATTATTTGCCTACTTACCTTGGAACTTTTACCAAAAAAAAAAAAAAAAAAAAAAAAAAAAATCCTAGTATCTATCATGTGAAGGATGTTTTTTACCAAATTGATCCTTTGATTTAATTTCATACTCTGTTGGGCAAACCTCATTCAAGGAAGAATCAGAAGGTTGTAGTGAAGAGTGATTCTTACACGAGAATAAAGAGAAATAAATGTTGAAGGCAAATGTCCATTTATAAGTCAATTACCATTTAAGGACGGCTGATGTAATGATAAATACAGTCCCATTTTTTACTATCTTTGCTATCATTTGGCTGTTTTCCTGGGGAACAGAGTGTTTTTTTACACTTTAGATATTTCTGTCCATATTCCATTACCTTCTGAGCGCTCCTCTAGAATGGGATATATGGTAGATTAACACTGCCTAACAACCAGTCTTTTCTAAGTAGAAATATCTCTGAAAGCATGGGTTTGACGTAACAAAAAATTACTTTGCTTTGCAAGCTTTTTTTTTTTTTTTTTTTTTTTTTAAAGATTTCCTCAAATAAATTGAGACTTCTCCACGTATGGGCCTTGAGAAAAATTAAGACGACTTTCTGTTTAATTTTAGGATTTTTATTTTTATTTTTATTTGTTTTTAGGTTTTTAACCTTTTCCAACACAAGAGTCTGGGTGTGCAGGTCAATCTTCGTGTGATAAAGCTTATTCTGCTCCATGAAACTCCAGTAAGAAAGTCTTGAGTTTTTAATTAAATTTAATGGGTGAGAAATTTTGTTCAGAAACTTTTAAGTAAGGGGAATGTTAAGGATGTACTTAAAAATCTGGAAATATCCATTGAATCACTTAAAGTATACATAAAACTGGCCTTTAGTTTTGGTTAATGCCCCAATCTTATTTTAAAAATAGGATATTGTTAGTTTCCAAGAATCCTGAAAACAAATCTTAACTTTCCAAAGTATAATTTTAAGAAGTCATTTTAAATGACAGTTTTATTCTATTATTTAGATGTGTACTTCTAACACTTTTTATTTATTTTAAATGGGAACTATTGTGTGGCACCATTTTGACATGCAGCTTAACTGGCACTTTAGAAAATGTTGTTCCACATAGAAAATCTTGTTCTTAAGTTGTAGAAACAACAAGTTATTTTAGTCTAAAAGTTCCACATTCTTAATTGAACCTCTCTACTTTTTCAGAATACCATTAAACAGATTTTGTAGTTATTACACCCTCACAACGCTTTAAGCTTTTAAGCTCAGAGTAAATCAAACCTGAATGTCTTCCAGGTTCTAATTAATGTTATGGTCAGCAGTTTGCTTTAGTAATTCAAGAGTGCCTTTGTTATTTTTTATTTGTTTGTTTTGTTTTGTTTTGTTTTTGTATATACCTAAGAATAATATGCCTTGTGATGAAATCTGTTATTTTGCAGCCAGATCTATACATTGGGCATCATGGAGAAAAAATGCTAGAGAGTTTTTGTAAGTGGCAACATGAAGAATTTGGCAAAAAGAATGATATACATTTGGAGATGTCAACAAGCTGGGGGGAAGACATGACTTCAGTGGATGCAGCTATACTTATAACAAGGTAAGTTTTCCAAAGCCAATTAAATGGCATTCCTAATTCAATTACTGCACTGTTAATCCCATTAATCCCTTAATAGATAATGTTTTTATTTCAGATTTCATGTTTCAAAAATGATTTTGGCATAATGGTGTTAGTCATCTCCCTCAATTCATAATAACAGATTTGTAAACAGCTAAATATTGGATGGAATATTGACAAAACATTTGGTTAGTTAATTCTAAAAAATTACCCTAAATTTTTGAGCTCAAAGGCATAGTCATTAATGATAAGCTAAAACTATGGTGAATTTTGTTGTAAGTTCAAAATTATGAATCTAGACTGTATGTTTTTCAGTCATCACCATATAAAGTAACCTAATATGTTAAATTCAGCAATTGAAAACCTTTCTGGCTCCATGTGAGAAACAATTTCAATTAAGTCTCTGACTAATTATAAGCTACATTGTGAATGTACTACTAAAAAATATTTTTAATACAGCATTAAGTATAATATGTAAATAAATGTAAGTGAAATAATGAGCAACAATATGCTCTATATGATTAATATGTCTAATAATCATACATAATTGGTCTGTCTTGCTTAAAGTTGGTAAAAATAAGTAATTCATTGTGAACTAGCAATTTAATTTTAGTCATCAAAAGTGTTAGCATTTCACATCACAGAAAGCACAGTAGTGTAATTACATACGATTTTCTGAAATGAAATCATTGAAATCATTGCAATTTCTTATAATTAATACTAAAGGCAAATAATTCATAAAGTTGAAAAATCTCTAGGCAAGAACACAATTGGACTTCTACTTTCAGCTAAGTAGGTATAACTGATATTGAGCTTGTGCAATAAGCAATCATAATATTGGAAAATAAGAAGTCACTGCTTTTAGTCATTGGAGAATGAACAGTGTAAGACTGCAATTCCTGAAAGAAGGGGAATTTATTATGCAAACCTTGCAGTCAACTCAGCTTTTTCCCTGGGAAAAATTTCTTAACTAGCGTAGCAGGGTAGAATCTAGGTAGAGCACAGTGATCCTGCTGAGGACACCAGAGATAAAAGTCTTAGGCATGGAGAGGTGCCATGAAGTACATGTGCTGACCACACATGAAAACTTGGCAATGGCTGGTCTGAATATAAACAGATAGAGGAGACTGCCCCAAATTTACCACAGGATTGCTGCTATGGAGTTCCAAATTTAAAAAGATACTAGGAATGAGCAAATTCAAAGCACAAGAGTGGAACAATCTTGTGATACCTTATCATCATTTTTAGCCTTAGGGGAGACAGAGCTTAGAGGTTGAATACCACCAATTTACAGAGGCTTTGGTATCATCTTGGATTTTTGATAAATCTTCCCTACCAAAAAATAAAGTCAAATTTATCTAAGTGCAGGATGATGAGCTAGTAATTGTGAACTGCCTCTTAAAACAGTTTTAAGCACTCTTCAGAGGAAGATAACAGAATAGCAAGTCTCTCTAAAAGTATATCATTCACAATGTCCAGAGTATAATAAAAATTAGTCAAGCAAAGAAACATGAAAATGTGACCCATGGTCAATGAAAAATTAGTCAATAGAACTGACCTTGAGATAGCCTAGATGTTGGATTTAGCAGATGAATGCAGTTGTAATTGGAGTCTCAGAAGAAGAGAGTAAGAATGGGTAAGAAAAATTATTTGAAGACATAATGGCAAAAAATTCCGCAAATTTGATGAAAAGCAACAAATATGGACCTAGGCATATCATAGGAAAGTTGCTGAAAACCAAAGAAAAACAGAAAAATTTCCGTCAGCCAGCAGGCTGAGCATTGAGGGGAGCAGAGGAAACATTAAACAGGAGGAACAATGTTCAAATAAATGACTTACTTCACATCCAAAAAAACAGTAAGCTCAAAAGACAATGAAACAACATTTCTAATGTACTGAAAGAAAGTAAACTAAAGAAATCCTATTAACCAAAAATGCTTACTGAGTTCTTGAGGTACTATCTTAATCTCTGAAAGGGTATCTATGAAAAAACATGTCTATAACTAATACCACAGCAAAAGGAGAAAACTGAACATTTTCTCCTTACAACTGAAAGCAAGGTAAGGATGTCTCCTCTTTCCACTTCTATCCAATATTGTACTGAAGATCATAACCAGTGTGGTAAAGCAGAAAAAAACAAAGGAAAAGCATACATATTTGGAATATAAAGAAAAATGTCTCTTATTCATAGATGATGTGAAATGGTACAAAGAATATTTTAAGAAATCTAGCAAAAATTTGCTAGAATTTGTAACTGGATTTTCAAGGCTACATCATGTAAAATCAGTTTTCAAAAACCAATTATGTTTATGTATACTGGAAGTGAACAATTGGAAAAAAATTATAGTGACTTCCAAAACCATAAAATACTTAAGAACAATTTTAGTAAAATATGTGTAAAACCTCTAAAATGAGAACTACACAGCACTGTTACGAGAAATTAAATATCTAAATAAAGATTAATTCATTGGAATACTAAATATTATTAAATGCCACTTTTCTCCAAATTGATTTATAGATTCAATATACTCCCAAGGAAACAACCTTTGCAGGCATGTTTTGTAGAAATTGACAAGCTGACTCCAGTACTAATTTGTAAAGGCAGAGGACCTAGAAGAATCAAAACAGTTTTGAAAAATAAGAACAAATTGAGGCCAGGTGCGGTGGCTCACACCTGTAATCCCAGCACTTAGGGTGGCTGAGGTGGGCAGATGGCCTGAGGCCAGGGATTCAAGACCAGCCTGGCCAACGTGACAAAACCTCGTATCTACTAAAATTACAAAAATTAACTGGGCATGGTGGTGCATGCCTGTAGTCCCAGCTAGTTGGGAGGCTGAGCCATGAGAATCGCTTGAATCCAGGAGGCAAAAGTTGCAGTGAGCCAAGATTGTGCTACTGCACTCCACCCTGGGCAACTGAACAAGACTCTGTCTCAAACAAACAAACAAAAAAACCCCAAAACCTTCCCATTCTGTCACAGTAATGAAAATGTATATATGTATATATATGAACAAATTGGATGGACTTACACTATATGATTTCAAAACTTACTCTAAAAGTTTGGAAATCAAGATAGTATGGTTTTGGCAAAGTCATGCAAATCAATGAAGCAAAATAAACGGTCTAGAAATAAGCCCACATATATATGGTTAATTGATTTTTAATAAAGCTACCAACATAATTCAGTTATAAAAATAATCTATTCAGCAGATGGTATTAGAATACATCAAATGGTACAAACGGAATATCTGGATACCTCTGTGAAAAAAATGAATATCAATCCCATTTAACATGTGTAAAATTAATTCAAAAGGGATCATAGAATTAAAAATGAAAGCTAAAACTCTATTGTAGTAAAAAAATGAAGAAGAACATTTTCATGAACAAGAGGAGGACAATGGTTTCTTACACAGGATACAAAAAAGTACTAATCAAGAAATACTAACAATCGTCTGGAATTTTTAAAAATGAAAACCATTTCCTGTTCAAAAGACGTTCACATCTTTTGTGAATTTGAGAAAATAATTGCCATACATATACTAACAAAGAACTTGTATCCAGAATGTTTACATGTATGTGTGTATACACACATATACAAATACAAAAATATGTCAACCTCTTAAAAATAACAAGAAAGAAATATGAATCTCCAGTAAGCATATAAAGAGATACTCAACATCATTAATTCCCAGGAAAATGCAAATGAAATTCACACCCACTTGAAAGGCTTCAGTTATAAAAATTAAAAATACTCAATGATGGTGAGGATATGGAACACTCTTCAGTTGTTGGTGGGATTATAAAATGGTTCAACCACGTTGGAAAATGAGTAGTTTCTTATAAAGTTAAACATTTGCTTACCATATAGCCCGCATCAGCTTCTAGATATTTACTTAAGAAAAATAAAAATGTCATTCACAGAAAAAAAAGAGCTTAAGAATTTATAGAAGCTTTCATAATTTTTTTCATAATTTTCATAATTGCCAAAAATTATAAATAAATATACATCTACAGGTGAATGTATTGTGTGTTCATACAATTGAATACTCTTCATCAAACTACTGATAAATGCAACCAAATGGATGGATGAGTTTTAATAACATTATACTGAGGCCGGGTGTGGTGGCTCACGCCTATAATCCCAGCAGTTTAGAAGGCCGAGGCAGGCAGGCAGATCACTTGAGGTCAGGAGTTAAAGACCAGCCTGGTCAACATGGTAAAACACTGTCTCTACCAAAAATACAAAAGTTAGGCAGGCATGGTGGCTCATGCCTGTAATCCCAGCTACTCAGGAGGGTGAGGCAGGAGAATCACTTGAACTTGTGAGGCGGAGGTTGCAGTGAGTCGAGATTGTACCACTGCAATCCAGCCTGGGTGACAGAGTGAGACTCCACCTCAAAAAAAAAAAAAAAAAAAATACTGAGTGAAAAAGCCAAATTAGAAACTGATCAGAGGATGATTCCACTTATACAGAGTTTGAGAATAGGCAAAATTCATCTGTCGTGTCAAATGTTGCCTGCTTTAAAGCTGGGAAAACTGACTGCAAAAAGGCAGAAGGAACTTTCTGTAGTAGTGGAAATATTGCATATATTGCTTTGAATACATGTCGGTTTATACATTTGTCAAAATTCACCTATCTTCTCATTTAACTTGTGTGTATTTTCTGTAAGTTTTACTATAATAAAGTTGGTTAAGAGTAGTAAATTGAAGTTGGGAGAAGGGATGGAAAGATTTGCATGGATGGGGAGGAGACCTATGGTTATAAGGTTTGAGGTGAGTCTAGGTTAAACGTCTGCATTGTTCAAGTCTTTCTTCCTTCTTAACCATAATAGATTTGAGAAATATTGCTTCTGAGACTAAAGAAGATGATAATCATAATTTGATTACTGATTTATAATTTTCCCTTATAAATGCGATATATTTATTACAGAAAATTGATAAGTATAAGAATAAAGATAAAAATTAGCCTATAGGCCCACTAC